TTAATATGGGCCGAGTCAATAACAGGCTAGTTAACTTGGATGAGTTGAATGAATTATGTTATTTTGTTAATTGATTTTTAATCAATTAATTAATATGTAATCCTTGCATCTTATAAAAATATCCTCAAATGAAAGATTTTTTTTGCATTGTTAGTAATTAAAAAAAATGGTTGCTTATCCGATGTTTGATACTCGTATGGTTAGTAATAAGTTCTCCTCATTCGCTTATAAAAGGTCAGTGAATGAACTTGAAATACAAATGAGAATTTTTTAAAAAGAATTACTATTACATGACTAAAATTCAAGATACCTAATTTAAAATCGAGAAGTCCTTATTATTTTATAACAATACGTCGTTGATAATGGTGACCAATGAAAAACATTATATTATCAAGACAAAATTTAGAGTCAATTTGAAGGAAATTGAACTTTTTATTTGTTTATATGTCATAATCAAACAATTTCAATAATTGTATGGTCAGTAGAAAAAAACATTTTGATGATATATGAAAATGAGTGGAAGAACACAAAAAATGATCATTGAGTAGATTATAATACAAACATTCTGATTTTAATACAACGTAAACCTTATTTTTCTATAAGCCATGAAAATTGTGTATACTTTGGTTCTCCTCTTTTTCTTTTTCTTTTTCTTTTTCTTTTTCTACATCGTTCCAATTTTGTCGAATATTCCAAAGAGAACGCATATTAACTCTCTTTATCTGTCCTAAATTCGCGATATTTTTAGTCCAAAGACATTTTTGTCTTTCTATCCCCCTATCTCCTTCCTCCCTGCAAACGCCTATCTAGTTCCATATATATTTTACACATTGGTTATGAGCAAATGGCAAAATTAGCAAAAAATCGAGGAAGGAGTAGGTTTTTTAATAGTTGTTATAAGCCCGTACCTTTCAACGATGATACTAGTATAATTAAACGGAATCATCTGTATAATTCAACAAATTTATCTAATTTGAAGAGAGTAAGATCACAAGAAAAATTGGATTCAATGTTGGGAAAAGATTTGACCAAAAATTTTCGACCAAATCGAAAGGAGAATGCCTTTGGCAGGAATTTATCTAATGTACTCAAAAATGTGTTTTCTGATACATCATTGGTAAGTTTAAGGGGAAAAAAATTGACTAGAAAATGAAGATATTTATTGAGTATGCATGCATTTATAATATTCTTGCATTTCTCTTTTATCCATCATGATTGTATTTTATTTCAACACACAGTTCAGAACTCGATGAGTAATGGTTTGAGAAATTCCTAGGACAGTGGCGCACAGTTCGAAACCCGATGAATAATATGTCTTTAGCTTCGACTGATCATACATTCACCATTTTCCACTTAAATAGAAATATTTTTGTCTTAAATATGATTTGAACCTGTGACATATGCCTAATCACACCTCATGAATTGCGCATGCGCCTAAACACACATTATGCATTGCACCTGTGACATGCGCTTAACTATACATCATGAAGTGTGTCTGGCCTAATCAATCTTTGGGAAGGCCTTTCAGTTTTGTAGCTTCTTATGAGCACAATAACTAGTTGTGTGACATTCGTGTAGGTACCCGACATTGGGCACTAGACCAAATTAAAAGATTTATCATTGTCACTTGATGAAACTTACAAATTGAATTGTTTTTGCAGGGGAAGAAAGGCCAGAGGAAAGAGCCTAAGTATTCATTTGGATCATGTAAAAGGTTATCATCAAAATTTGAGAAAATATTTCATTCTACAAAGGAAAGAAAATCTTCTTCATCAAAGGATTTATCAAAAAATACTAATAGAATGTCCACAAGTGCAAGCATGGATGATTTTTCCTTATTCACTACTTCTACATCCTCTACATTTTCTTCTTCTTCTTCGTCTTCTTCTCGTTCATCTTGTTCATCACAGAGAACGCAATTCCCATCTTTTCACAGGTCAAAATCAGCGAACAATATGCAAGTTTATGACAACGTAAAAGAAAAAGAAATCGCGCAACGTTACAACAAGAACGTTGGGACGTATTCTCTTTTAATTTGTCTATTGGTTATGGTTTTTTGTGGGAAAGTTTTTGCCATCATTTGCACTTCAACATGGTTTTATTTTGCTCCTCGTTGTTTCAAACGTATAGACTCAGATGAGTACAAGAAAAATGATCGATTGTTATATTTAGTACAAGAAAAAAATGTAACTTTATAGTTTATAGAGCTATTCTCCTATCCATTCTATCCTTTATTTTAAATTTTGCTTGTTTTTTCTTCCCATTATAATGTCATGTAAGCCTGTGCAATTGCAATGGCCTTATTTGTCATATTGTAAATTGTACAAAATGTTACAAAATGACATAAAAAGAAACAAAAATTGCATATGCGATACTTCTCAATCTTGTCATGCCAATTGACATACTTCACTGCCGCAGAGGCAAAATCAGAATTTTAATTTTATAAATTCTGAATTTTATAATGATAATTTTAAGTAGATATTAATAAACTTTATAATATAAATATTAACATACTGAGACTTTTAGCTCCGCCCCTTTTTCACCCCTATTAAATTCTTTGGGTATTAATGACTTTTGTTTTTTTCCAACATAAGTTGGACTCAATGTGGTACTAAAAGCCAATGCAAGAAAGAGAAAGATTTTGCAGATACAGATATAAATCTGAACTCAGATCATGTCTCTTTAGGTGGACAAAAATCAAACAGAGGAACCAATAGTGAACAAAACAAAAAGCTTGCGCCTTACTTTCCTATAAGTAGATAAACGGTTCAAGCAAGAACCACAAGTGCAAGGGCCACAACTTAGTCTAAATTTTTTTAAATCGCTATATTTAAATTAGCATGTGTACCTCGATTAATTTCACAGGATATCAGACGCAAACACAAAGTAATAATGTTTCCATTCAACCACTAAGGAAAAGGCACAGCTTAACAACCCTTTTCTCTTCACTAGTATTTATGAAAGCCTGAAATGTAGTGTAAATAAATAACACATCAATTTGTGTAACAATTTTTCTTACAGTGTCATGACCCAAGAATTGAACCTGTAGTTTTGTCCTAAATAGAAGATAGAAGAGTTAACATAAGTGGTCCAGGGTAGAAATACCTTCTTTGTCCTATTCAATTCAATTAACACCAACACTTATAATCTACGTGGTACAACTGAAATTTTTTTGTACAGTCGCTTTGAGTTTAATTTTTACTGTTCATAAAAATTGTTGTATTTATATTAGATTCTTCAAAAAAGGCAAACCGTATCACAATAACAAAGTTGATTCTTTCTGTTCCATCACATTTATTTTAGCATAGATGATTAATAATAAAATAATAAGTGAATAATTGACTCAGACACCAAACTATTCATGCTCGTCCATTTTGTGTCACCCTAAATGAAATGCCTAATAAATTAAAATATTTAAAGCCAAGCCATAATGATCATTGGTCATTTAACTTAATCAAACAAAAATCAAATTAAGTTATTTTTTAACAAAAAAAAGATGTAACAATCCGTACTCCCGAATACACAATATAGCACAAAAGTAGCAACAGACACCGTTGTAATCCTAGCGTAAAGAAAATAGTAAAATTATTTTTGATAGATTCTAAACGACATTTTAATTTAACCAGATTAAAATAGTCTTATTTTAATCGAGTTAAGTAGAAGTGCAACACATACTGGAATTAACCTTTTGTACAATTAGCATCTTTTAACTCAAAAAGCGTGAGCTACCAAAAGCAATATGGGGAAGAAGAAGAAGAAGAGATGCTGCTAGTGCTTTACTGATAGTGAAATAGATCTAGAGGCAGAATCAAAATTTCTTTCTCATGGCTTTCAATTAGTACACAGCGCCGTCCTGGCCAAAGTACTGTGTAGCTGTTTTTGTCAAATAAAAACTCACCACCACACAGCCAATTAAAGGACTGAGCTACATGGATTGAGGCATCTGGATCAGCCAGCTTTCTAGATCTGCAGTAAAAACTTCATCATTTAACGGAAGAGAATCTGAGTCTCGAGACTCAGACCCGGCACCGGGACCACACACAGTCCATCCATGGTCCCCTCATACTCTATTATACCGTTCGTCCCAATTTATGTAATATAGTTTAGCTGAATACGAAAAATATGAATGAACGTATGCTTTTGTCAAATAAATAAAATGTTGATAGTGTCGTTAAATTAATCAACTGTATTTTAGCAATCGAGTGGGTACTGTTTAAGAGCAGTCTCGGTGGATTTTGGAGCTTTCTCATATACAAATCTCTTCCCCCCTGCAAGGAAATGGTTTGGGAATTATTGGGATTTGTGCACATAACCCATATATGTCTCTTACGGAAAATGTACTTTTTTTTAAAAAAAAATCATGTTAAATTTTTTAAAATATTTCTTTTAGGACAATAACAAGGAAATTGAGATCGTGGTAATTAATATCTATCAATTGTAGAAGAGTTCTTCACCTTCTTTTATTGTATATAGGTTGTTTTTAGTCATTAAAAATCTATAAGATAGGGGTTATTCTAAATACACGCGTCTCAACACAAGTATAATGGAGTTAAATTTTATAAAATGAAGGCATATTAGTACAGTTCTTAACTTTATTGCAGACTATTAATTAGCGTGACAAATTAACAGATTTTAAAATAAATGACTTGTAAGGTACTTGAAAGGTAGATAAGCATGAAGAACACAAGGACAGACATATTTTTTTTTTTTTGTTTTAATATTCCACTAATATAACATGAAGAAAAATGAGTTGGCAATTTTGGCATTTCCATTTAGAAATAAAGAATCAACGACAATCCCTATAAAATAGCTTAATCTTACTCACAGTACGCTAGCTATTTTTGCCTTTCTTTTTTTTGTCCTTCTCTTTTTAATAGTGTACCCACTACCCTACTCTTATAATACCATCACTTGTTAGTAATTCATTTCTTGTATTTATCCTTGTCATTAACAGAGTTTCAACGTGAAATAGGTAAATTTTACGTATCTAAATTCGTTGACCAAAAAAAGGATTGGATATACATATCAACTTTTGAGTATATGGTCTAATTAAAATTACTTTCAAGATAAAGTCAAGAACAAAAATGAAATTATTTCCTAGTGCCGGAAGGAAGTAGACCAACAAAATTATGATGTGTGATACAAAATAACACTCACTATAAGAAAACAATTAGCGACGTATGAAATTTCATAGTTAAATAATGAAATAATTATGCTAATTTTATTTAACTGTAGATTAATGATGAATTATGTAAATAATATTTAACTATAAGCTATTTAACGACAAACTAACTAGAAATTATCGATAAATTTCATAATTAATTCCATATTATATAAGAGTTATTTTCATTTTCCATTAGAAAAATGTTTTCCATCACATACCAAAGTACAAATGCAGTAAATAAGTGAAAACCATATATGTAATATTGATAGGGTAGAAACTTATTCACATCAAACTAATACATGAATGCCGTGTGTTTGACTATAGAGTTCATTTATTTAATCATAATAAATTATATTGATTCGATATAAATACTCGATATAGATATGTTTTTACTGCATTAATTATATTTAAACCCTCGATATATAAATTGACGTGCAAGAAAAGAGTAGCTAAGGTCAATGTGTACATACAAAAAACACACCTTTCTTATTGTTGAGTACATATTATTTTTCTCATGTTGAAAAAAAAAATGTTGAAGCAATGATTTGTTACTAATACAAGATAGAATTTTGGGTGTTTTTTTTTCTTTCTAGGAGTATACACTTTTGGGTCTATGTATACTATTTTTTCACCTTGAAAAAGAATATTTCTGCAATGATTTGTTACTAATTATGTAAGATATATATAGACTATAGTCATAGACTATATAGCTAGGGGGACCCCAATATATATAATTAAAAAACATATCCATAAGGTCTTTTTCTTAAACTGCATTTATTTGATATACTTGTTCTCAACTGACAATACACAATCATCTCTTTTGCTGTTTTAATAAAAGTAATGTATGGAGAATTACAACTGTTTGTTTAGGCTCTTCACTACTTTTTAATTTTCTTTTTTCTTTACCTCAGTGGTTAGTTTGTCTAATACTAGCATGTTTGATCGATTCGATATCTGAAATTTATGAATTTTTGTAGTAATTTTAAATTAATCTATAATGATAACTGATTTTAATAGACATTTTAATATGTATATATAAGTAAGCTTTTTTTGAATTATCGTGAATCCATAAAGTAAACTTTAGATTTACATCTAGTTTTCCTAGCTTCTAGGATATCAAAAATGTTTGCTTTAGAAAATGAGTGTTTGGCTAAATTTTAGAAGAAAACTAAAATAAAATGCTCTTAACATAGTACATGTACCAAAATATGTTTTTCAAAAGTTAAAAAATTTAGCTTTTAGATACAAATTGAATTTTTTAAAAAAAAAATTATTTTAATAAATAAATAAATTTTGAAAGTTTGACATTAGAACTGTAAATTTATCCTTCAAAAGTTTTTAAAACTCTTTAATCATTTGAGGGACAAGAAACATTAATAACTCGTGTTGAATACTTGACTACTTTTAAATTCAATTTGCAATTTTCTTTGTAAGATTCTTTTAACGGGAAAAAATAATTAAAGTTTCAAGAAATAATTATAACTAGTTTTGTCCAAAAGACTTTTTTTTGGTATGTATCACATCATTAAATCACATATTACTTTTCTGATTCTAATTAGAAACCAAGTTCAATAATTAGTGATCATAAATAGATAAATAAAACAATTTTAATTATATTATATGCTTTCAGAGTAAAAAGTTTTTATACTGTTAGATCATCTTTTTATTTGTTATAGCAGGTGTCATGTTTTCCATTTTAAATGTTACAAATCCCATTTAAGGGCTAACATAGTGGTTTTTATACCGTTAATACATACCTTAATCAAACTCATAAATAAAGATTTTAAATTTATATATTGTCAATGTAAGTTACTTTTTACACCGTCAACAACAAAACACATATTTAGTAAAATGCTATAAGTCGGATTTGGGAGAATATCGTGTACACGTATCTTATCATTAACTCGTGAAGATATTGAGGCTATTTCTAAAAAATCTTTAGACTCAAGAGCAGAAAAAATCCAATATATACAACAACAACTAACAAATCATTCAAAAAAATATCTACATATACCTCTAAATATGTGACATTTAAATAAAAATTATTACTAAAGTTTACGATGTATATTACTTAAACTACAATAAAAGAAACTTAAACCAGCAGAAATAACTGTTAATCCATATTGTACTAAATATATCACTTTCCCAGTTCTGCTCAGAGTTAATAAAAAAAAAAAAAATTAAAAAAAATCACATATTATGTGTGTATAAAAGACAACAAGATCACTAACAGATAAAAACACCATAGCTAGCCAGACCATGTTCTGTTGCATTTCTCATCTATAGTCTCTCTGGTGTTTTTTCTCTGCACCAAAAACACCTTTCTTACTGCCTCCTCCACCCCACCACCCCACCCCCACCAACTCACCAAATTTCAACTACTGTTCCATTGAAAATGGCTACTTCTCTTCAGTTTTCTTCAGATCATCACCCCATTCCTCAGGAAAATCATCAAACAATGAACCAGACTGCTACGGGAGGACGTAGAAGGTCGAGTAAAAATGGCCAGAAGAAGAAGAAACAACCACAAAGAGGCATGGGAGTCGAACAACTCGAGCGACTTCGAGTACAAGATCAGATCAAAAACAGTACTATCCATGGCGTTCATCATAATCAGTACTATTCTAATAACAATTTCCCTAATTTTACTCCTCTTTCATCATTTACCGGCGCTGGTAGTGCTAGTGCTAGTGCTGGTGCTGATCCTGGAATTTATAGTAATTCTATTTTGAACTCTTCACCAGTACTTCAGTTCCCCAAATTGTGTGCAGTGAGTCCGAATGATTTTTTTATGCAACAAAAAGTTGTTAATACTGGGTTTATTGGATCTGGTAGTACAAATCAGTTGATGGTTTCTTCTCATGATCATCATCAGTTTCAATCTCAAATGAATCTCTACGGATTTGCAAGTTCTAAGCCCAGTACTGAGAAATCGAAGGAGCTGTATCCAATGCCAAATCTGTTTAGCAGCAACAACTCATGTTTCTCTGATCGGTGCCGATCATGCAACAAAGTATGAGTATATAAAATGCAAATTGTTCTGCTTCCAAATTTTTTCAATTTAATTAATTTAATTTATAATTTTGCAAATTTGTTCACATTTTCCTTCTTCGTTCTCATAAGAAGAAACGCATGATCAATGGAGAAGAAATTAGCATTCATACGGAGGACATGATCAGAGAAAAGGAAGATTCTGGAACAATGCCTTTGCTTCACTCATACACTTTACCTAGCCATCTACAAAAGGTAAAATAAAATAAAATTGCAGCTAGCTAGCCCTAATTTTTTCCAACAATTGTTCGCTTCGAAAAACTGAAAACTAAGTGATTTGTAGGGCGTAGAGATTGTGGCAATTCATAGAAAGGGAAGTTCATCCGCGTTGTCATGGGACGAAGGAGCAGTAGTGATGGAGTATGATTTTTTTCCAGAAAAAATCAGCAGCAAAAGCACTAATAATTACAAAAGTTGTTTCGAGAAAGAAGCAACGATGATGAGTGCTTATAATTCACCAGAATCTTCTTCATTTGCAGCAGCAGCAGCGGGAAATATTATTAATGGTGAAGCTTCTTCTGTTACTACAATATCTTGGGCTGCAGATACTACTACTACTACACCTACCAGTTCCATTGATCTTTCACTGAAGCTTTCTTAGTTTTTTTTTTTCTACAGAATCATTTGAAAAAGTATATGGTTTAATTTCTCTGAGTTTTGTCTTTTCACACTTGTGTGAAAATTTATCTGATGAAAGACCCAACACTACTTTATTTTTACCATTTTGGTTTACCTGAATTAGCTAGTTACTTGTTATTACTTCTCCAAAATGGAGCAATACATTTTCTGGGGTTTTATTGTGTCTATATCTCTTTCTCTCTACTATTGGGATTTTGTGTCAGTGAGATGTAGATGCTTCACTATTTTTTTTCCTACATCTTATATTTACTGTTATATATATATTTGGGAGTTCATGATCAATTGTTTCAAATTATGTGAGGCGGATTGAAAACAACAAATTATTCTATGCGGGACGGATTGAAAACAACAACTTAGATTAAAAAACTAGAAATCCAAACTATAAATCCTAGCTCCACTCATGGGTCGTGTCCAATAAAATTAGTTTAGATGTATAATAACGTAAGCTAGTCTGAAGATCACGATTATAATATAGTATAAATAACTTATCCAAAACCTACCTTTTCTAGAATCTAAAATCTATAAACTCCTTCGTGTCTCTATGTCCTGATCTGTTGCAAGTCCAGTGGAAGCATAATCTACCAAAACCCTAGCAAGCTATTTATTATGGTGGGGTGGGTGGGGGAGTGGGGTGTAATTAAATAAGGGGGTAGGTAATTAATATTTACAAAAGAGAGAGTTTGTATATTTCCTTAAAAGGGGTAGCCACTAATTAAACCAAAAGGAATACAGTTGAAGAGTATCTCTTTATGGGAGTCAAGCATAATATACTGATCAGATACTAAAAAACCAAAAGAAAAAGTGCTTTATGGCAGTCTATAAGTGAGTATATATGTAAATTATTTTACTTTTCAATATTTCAAATTATTATTGAGATTAATAATATTTAAAATTTACGATCAAAATAATTTTTTTTAATCTCTAATATCACATAAATTGAGATAGACGAAAAAAAAGACATGCTTTATGGGAGTGTAAAAAGTGAGTGTTCAAAAAAGGAATGGGAAAGAGGCAATAATAGGTAGTCAGTAAACCGTATATATGTAAATCCATGCAAGTAGTCAGTAGTGTAGTGTATATATGAGCTTCGACTGGTGGCTCATTGTAGTAGTAGATCGATGTGGCTACTGCTATTTGCAGCCTGCATGCTAGCTAGCTGCTTTATTTTGTGGCTCTGCTTCAACTACCCTCATGCATGTAATGACTGTTAATAGTACTCTCAGTAAAACTTAGGGCTACTCAAGCTTTTTTTTGGTACTCGCTTGATGTTGGATATTCACATTGAATCTCATAAAATCTTAATAGTTCAATTGGTTAACTATACAAACTTCATTATATCTAGCGGTACTCGTGAACTCTAATAAAAGTAGAAGGAATTATTATTTCAAATTCATTGTTTTCTCCTCATCCACACAAAGTCCCTAACCCTCGCTCCTTGACTATCCTTATAACCTTGCCACCATTGAACCCTACTTTCTATCCATCTCATCCCTATAAAGATTTTTACTAGATTATATATAATACTTTTTGGGTTCAATTCCACTAGATATGTGCCATCTCACAAAAATTCATATTTTAAATTGTTAAATGTTAATCAAACAACTTCTTGAAGAATCTTTATTGACCACTAGACCACATTCGATATTTTAAAAAAACACTAATTCATATTTAAAATTGTTAAATGTTGATCATGCAACTTCATTTCGTAAAGCCTTTCTACCTAAGATTCTAGTAATTACCACTAGACCACATCCATTCGTAAAGCCTTTCTACCTAAGATTCCAGTAATTACCACTTGACCACATCCGATATTTTAAAAAAACACAATCCATATTTAAAATCGTTAAATGTTGATCAGGCAACTTCATTCGTAAAGCCTTTCTACCTAAGATCCAAGTAATTTAAAAAAAAAACGTGGACGGCAGGATTCGAACCTGCGCGGGCAGAGCCCACATGATTTCTAGTCATGCCCGATAACCACTCCGGCACGTCCACCTCATGCTTCTACACAAACCTTTTGTCACTAATCAACAGTTAATCAATTATTCCCCCTTCTAGATTCTCTCTCATTCCTTCTTCTTCTTCTTCAAAATCATCATCAAATAGAGCAATTCTCGCTTCCATAGCGATAAACAAGCATCAAATCAAACAAACAAAATCAGTACAAAAAAAAGGTCAACTCCCATAAGAATGCAGCAACAACCCCCACCCCCCACCCCCGATTCCGATCTCCCCCGTCTCGCTAACATCAAAATAAAATCATCTTCTCCACGTTTTCCCCCACCCACTACCCCTTCCACCACCGATACCCCTACCGCCGGAGCTCAGCGGAGGATCGGAATAGCCGTCGATCTAAGCGACGAGTCTGCTTTCGCCGTTAAGTGGGCTGTGAATCAGTACCTCCGTCCTGGTGACGCTGTTATCCTTGTTCACGTCCGTCCAACTTCCGTACTCTACGGTGCTGATTGGGGATCTGTTGATCTATCTATTGTTGATACTGAGAATGAGGAGAGTCAGAGGAAGCTTGAGGATGAATTCGATACGTTTACTACTACTAAAGCGTCTGATCTAGCTCAGCCTTTGGTTGATGCTCAGATTCCGTTTAAGATCCATATTGTTAAGGATCATGATATGAGGGAGAGGTTGTGTCTTGAGGTTGAGAGGTTAGGGCTTAGTGCTGTTATTATGGGGAGTCGAGGATTTGGAGCTACTAAGAGGGGAAGTGATGGAAGACTTGGGAGTGTTAGTGATTATTGTGTTAGGCACTGTGTTTGTCCTGTTGTGGTTGTTAGGTATCCCGATGATAAGGATGGTGGAAATGCTGTTGTAGAGCCGGTGGTTTCTGTTGCTTCAGCTGCTGAAGAAGATGAGGAGGATGCTGAGTACCATGATGCTTCTGAGGATCGAAAAGGTATGCCGATTGTTACTATTTTTCATTTTATGTTTCTCCGTAAGCATTTTTCTTTGTGCTCTTTATTTCGTTTATTTGGATTATGGAATGTCGTTCTTTATGCTTATTTCTTCATTATTAAGTCTTTTATTATGTTTCTGATGATCTTCATGTATAATAGCAATCACTTAATGTTGTGCTTCCTTGATAATTTTCTCCTTTCACAGTTACTCTGTTCCTAATGGAACAATCAGGTTAGAGTACAAGGGCTGATTTCTTGTAATTTTCTGCTTGATATCGGCATTGTTTGATCTATCTTTTTGATAATAAAATTTAGTACTTTAAAGTTAAGTTCAACTACGTAGGAGTAATATCAATTGAGAAGTTGAAAGGAAGTAAGTGGAGATACTAAATTCAAAATTCAGCATTCCTCCTTCCTCCACTCTAACTGAAAAAAAATAAAGTCTTTGCTTCCCTGACCATTGCTAGTTCCTCCATCCTCATAAGCTTTTCTAGTACATTGTCATCCCCATCTTTTAATAGGTTTAGTTTATGTTTCCGTTCCTGTTATTTGTCTTGATTGACAAAAATAACCGGTTCTATTTTGGCATGTCGCAGTCTGTTTCTTTTAATATATAAGGATGAGCTTAATGCTTTTATGATTCATAGAATTGATTTCTGTAATAATTTGGGGAAAAATGTAATTTGGTCATGATTGTTTTCTCTGTTATTGACATCATACATAAGAACCCTGGGTACAAAAATGACCAGAAATGCGAAAAGGAATTACTTAAAGTTATCCTCTTTTAGTTCCAAATGTCCTGTTGTGGAAAATTAGTGTTTGAGCTCAACTTAAGGTTGGACTTATGGGTTGAAAGTCCAAAAGATTAAATGGTTGGAATTATGGGTTGTCTTGAATCAACCAATCCCTTACCCAAGATATCTAGGTGAAGGCGTGCAATGTTATTTCGTCACATATTTCATTGGTTTGTTACCTAACCACGACTTCAGGTTTTCTCTGAAGGGAATTACCATCTTTCAATGATTGAACTGGTGGTAAAACTGATCCTAGTAATAAAAGAAGACGAGAAAGCAAACAAAGAAGAGTGAAGTTGTGATAGATTAGATGCCAAGTCCAAAGCCGCTTTTTCAAATTTGTCGTCTATCAAGCGACGTGTATGCTCGAATTTGGCATTTCCAAGTGTGAGCAAAATCCAAGGCCATCTTTTTAATGATTTGGCTCTACTCTAGTCTTCTAGATGCTGTTCTTCTTATCATCCACATGCTTATCATGGAACTATTAACTTAAGATTAGTTGGGAAAGAAAAAGTGTACATAAAGAGTGTTTTGGTTCCGGGTGATGAAAAGATAGACAACCCTATGGTGCATGTGCTTGTTAAGCCAGAAAGATCTCCTGTAAGCATGGAAGGTGGTGTAGACATTTTGAGGCTATTATTATCCATCAGAGTAAGTTTACTTGCACAGAAACACTGACAATTTTGATAGGACGCAGGTTTCAGTTCTTTTAAGAATGCAGTACTGATTCAGGAAGATGTGGTTTCTTTTGGTTGATCCCTTTTCAGGTTTTAGTCAAGGAGTTAATGAAATGCGATGAATGGTTTTGCATATCCTTGATGCCAGTAATGAATATATCTAACTTCATCAGAAAAAGAAAGAAATGAAATGAATGGGACCAATATGTGTCATATTTACTCACATTTTATATAATTTTAACTTCTTCAAGTGATGGCAAGTATGGAAGTTGCACTGGCCCTTTTCCAAGGATAGTTACTTCTTTGACCATTTATGACGCAGTTGCATAGATTTAAGGAAATAAGTTTGTGTCACATTGAAAGCAATTGCCCATTTACCTTTCTGAAGTTTATTCTTGTATGTAGTATAGTTGACACAAGAGAGAATAGTTGAAGGATGTTATTTAAATCTCCAAAACTTGCATTAATTTCTGAATTATAAGGAATTTGTTTTCCTAGAGAAAGTGTTTTTCAAAACATTTTGACCAACCAAACAGGGGAAAAACACACCATCAATGAGTATGTGAGATTCTGTTTAGAAATGAAATTGTCGTGCCGATAGTTTGCAACCTGGCTTAACACATCCTCAGTTGTATTACTTTTTTACTGTGTTGATCTTCGAGTATCATTAATTAGTTTGTGGAGTCTGCTTTTCAAGGTTATTGAGAGGTTTAAATTAACTCTTGTAGCTCCTTCACTAATTCTCATCTCCATTATTTTACGACTTCAATTACTCCCTACTCCTTGTACTGATAAAAAAATATTGCCATCTCCCAGTGCTTTGCTAAGATGTTCTTGATTCTTTTTGACAGAGTCATAATGAAGGTGGACGAGGTCTTCCTTTGGTTTGCACTTGTATTGACCAGCTTCCCCGAGAACCAGTAGGCCCTTTGTGACGTCTGGAGTCATTTTATGTATATGAACTGTTGTAGCTCTTGTCTCTTTCAACATCAACTTATTATGGTCTCTTCTTGATGATTGTATCTGTTATGATTATCATCTTCACAATATTGTTACTTGATTGCCTTTGGATACTGGCTGTGCAATCTAAAACTTTTTCATGAGACTTTCACTATATGCTTGTGTTTTTCTCAGTAGTCATTGCTAGTCTTGTTATGCATTAGAAAATCGCTTGTACTGATGGATGTTAGTAGTATTATGCATCAACATATGAAGTCTTGATCTGTGTTTGGACACGTGATTTGAGATCATGATTTGAAATAAATGTTTTTACTTTCTTAACAATCATTTAAAATCCCAACCAACAATATAATTTTTGTAGAAAAATGAATTTTTTTTTTCAAATAACGGAAGAGTCAGCAGAGACAAAAATACTAGGTGATTCTTTCAATCAGTTCTGGCCTTGGTGTGGACAGAGTTATTTGTTACTTGTTGATGAAAGGTGACAGGTATTTCATGGAATTAGTTGAGGCGTGCGAAAGTTAGCGTCAACAGTACAAGTCATAACAAAATAATAATCAATAATTCGATGTCATGTCAGGGGCGACTACATGACCATTAAAAACGACAATAGAGCACATGTTGAATGTGCGAGTGGATATTGTTGAAAGAAAAAGAATATAAAGAGGTTTCAACTTTCATCAAAATGAAATGCTATGTATAATGTAGGAGTGTACAAAATCGAACCGAAAACTGAATCAAATAATAAATTGAGTTAAAGTGAAAAAAAAATTCGACTAGTGGTTTGGTTTGACTTGGTTTGGTATTGAAAAACACCTGACTATATTTGGGTTGGTTTGATTTTAACTAAAAAAAAACCAACCCGACATTATATATGTAATTTTAAAATTTTATTTTATACATAAAAATATTTACTTTGATATAATTTTAAAATATTTCTTATACTATTTCATAGTTTTTATCTTTTAATAAATTATTTCAAGTTTAAAACTTAGAATTCAGAATGGTCCAATAAAGATTATAGTTCATAAATGTTGATAATTATAATAAAACTTAAATGAAAATTAAATTAATACTAATGCAAAAAGAAAATCAATTCAACACTAAGAATGACAATAATATTGAATATTTATTCTTTAATTTTACATTGATTTAGACAATTAAAATACATAATCTAATTTTAATTTTCCTTAAATATTTAGTAATGTAATTAATACTTATTAAACTTATTTTAGCATGATTTAGTACTTTTAAATTATGATCATTTTCATTATGACTTTGCAATATTTATTTTATATGATCATTTCATTATTATTTTTATTGAATATTTTAGTGTCATCAGTACTCATCTCATATTTTGTGTTATTTTCTTAAGAAACACCTTAGATAATTGTATTTTGGTTGGACTAAAGAAATATCTGGAGGACAAGTTAATTATATGTTTGTATGCAAACTTTACTGAAAAAATCTAAAAATCTGAAAAAATCCAAGGTTTATTAGTTTGGTTTGATTTATAAATTTAAAAATTTGACACAATGGTTAGTTTGGTATTTGAAAAACCCGAACCAACCCGAGGTTGAAAAACCCGAAAAAATCCGAATTTTATTAGTTTGGTTTGGTTTATAAATTTAAATTTTTTACACAAATGGTTTGGTTTGATATTTGAAAAACCCGAACCAACACGGTCATGTACACCCCTAGACTATAATGTATTGTTTTGGATTTTAATATTTACACATGCTTTTCTTTATTCCCTTACTATTACAGAAATCATTATTCCAAATTCAGTCCATTTTTATTACAGAAAACATTATTTCAAACAAGAAAAACGTTTTAAATGAAAAACAATAGTCTACAAGTTTGATTTAGTACTTCACTCAGCTACGAAAAAAAGAAGCAAAAATCAGGCTTTGATATTTGAAATTCTTTTTAATATAAACTCGAATCAAATTTAAGAAAGAATTCTCTTCACAGAAGCTCTTAAATATACCATATCATGTGTTACTATCAAAGTTTGTTAATAAGGGTAAAATGAAAATAAAATTATATTAAATTGTTTTCAAATGATCTCCAACTGAGAGGCGAAGTCAGAATATTTACCAAGGAATTTAAAATATGAAGAAATCACCATAACAAAAACTCAAGCCTAAAAATTCAACTTTATATATACAATATAACTTTTTACGAAATTTTTTTTGAATGAACCCTTGCTTCTACATGACTCCGTCCCTGTCTCCGGGAACATGCTTTCTGAAGCAAACGTGAGAAGATATACTTATTAAGAAAATGATGAAGCTTCGGTTGTTGGTACTGCATATAATGCATGCCTTGTACTTTAGTGATATGTACTGCCGTTATTCAACCTATTTTAATTTATACAAAGTTTTATCCATATCTTTTTTCATGACAAAACACACACACACAATGAATCTTCTTCGCTTAATTCTTTATATTTTGAATCACCTTAATATAAATTTTGATTTCACCATTTTTTCTCGGGATAGAATTAAAATGTGTCAAAGATTTAATTCAGAGTTTTCTAATGAAGTGGTATATATCAAATTGTATTTATAATGTTTTTTTACCCCTAAAAGAGATTTTGTTCGTTTATTTTTTTCATTACTAATTGAGTATCCTTCACTATACACAGAAAAAACTAAAGCATAAGAGAATACTAACATCACAAAGTCGAAGTAATGAAATATACTTCACTATTTTACTCATAAGATAGCTATATAAACATTATGAAATTGAAATACTTGATATAATATATAATCATTAATGAGCATCACTCCTTCAAATTAAGGCACATAGGTATGTATACATGGAGAGCAATTTATTTGGCATAAGATATCTCTTATGATATTACTACATAATTAAGTTACATAGAAACATAGAAATTAAACTAGGGTTAGAAATCAGAAGCCCCAATTCAAATCATCCATGCATTTATTACTTAGATCCATCCAAAACAAATAAAATAAAGAAGAAATGAGATGTTTTCGTATCTTCTGATCGATCTAAACAACATATAACAAATCATTTCATTTTCAACATATAACAGATCATTTCATTTCTTTTTCATTAGTAATGAAATATCCTTCACTATTTCACTGAACAATGATGAGAAACATTATGAAATTGAAATACATGTAGTATGATAATTAATTAATCATCACTCCTTCAAATTAAGACACATATCGATATACATGGAGAATTAGGCATAAGATACCATCTCCTCGTGATATTAGTTAGTACAAGTTACATAGAAACATAGAAATTAATTAAACTAGGGTTGGGAATCATAATCCCCAAATTAATCATCCATGTATTGCTTATAAGATCCACACCAAAATAAAATAATATAAAAAGAATCGAGATGTTTTTATACCTTCTAATCGACCTAAACAACATATAACAAACCCTTTCATCTCTTCTCCATTAATAAGGCATATCCTTCGTTATTTCACCGAACAAACGTACAAAAGATGAAACATTATGAAATCGGAAATACCTGATATTGTAGTATGATAATTAATAATCATCACTCCTTCAAATCAATACACACACAAATAGATATACATGGAGAATTATTTATTTGCATAAGATCATCATCATATCTCTCATGATATTAATGCAAGTTACATCAATAAAACACACAAATTAAGGAATTAATAAAAACCTAGTTAGGGTTGGAAATGAATAAGCCCCACATCATCCATGTATTGTTTAGATCCATCCATTAAACCAGGACTCAATCTAAACATGAGAATACAAAATTCCATTTGATTAAGTGCTCCATCACCATCCAAATCTCCTTCAGCCAACATGTAAATCAACTCATCATCTCTTAAATCATTTAAACCAAGATTCATAGTGTTTCTCTTTAAACTTTCATATGTTATTAGCCCTATACTCACATCCATAAGTAAACAAAATCCATTGCAAAGCTCCCTCATGAATCCTTCCGCGCCTAATCTCTCCATCATTGAAGGGAAATAATCTTCAAATCCATAAGGATCTTCCATTTTTCGCGGTCACTAAAGAAAGATATGTGTGTATGTGTTGTGTGTATATGTTGTGTGTGTGTATATATATGTGTGTGTGTGTGTATATATATAGTGAAAGAAATTAATGTGTGGAGGTTGTAAAGTTGTTGGCTTGTAATATTCTATCCTTCCTGGAAGTTGCATGAGGAATCATTTGAAAGCACAGTACACTTGTGAAAAAGGAGTTGTTTTTTAGTGAGATTTACAGGAAAACCTCACACACACTACTCTTTCTTGATTTTCTTTGATTTGAATGATAGCGATGGGTTGTAAGAACCTCGGAGTAACGGTAAAGTTGTCTCCGTTATCCATGTGAGCTATAGCTAGGTCACATGTTTGAGTTGTGGAAATACAGTCACTACATGTTTGCATTAGGTTGACTGTCTACACCAAATTTGATCCCTTGGGGTGCGATCTTTCCCTGAACTAACTCTGCTAATAATGCAGGATGCTTTGTGTACCTGACTACCTTGACGTAAATGTTAACGATGTGTACGTGTGTTTTTGTAGGGTATTACATGCATGTGTAATGGGATAACATTTCAATAATTGCTTCTACTAGCTAGGGCAACTTCTGCCCATTTCCATTCTTCTATACACAATAATATTCCTAAATCTGAATTAATAATTAAGTGCCTATATATCTTTGCTAGCTAGTGTGATTTGTCCTTTACGTTTACAGAATTTAGAGATGGACAATATTTACACCTTTATTAATAAATAGAAGCCTTAATATATTAGTTGGCGTTTCAAATCTGAATCAATAATTAATGTTCCACAGACATAGAGAATAAATGATTTAAAGCAGAATAAAATCAATATTATATGAAACAAAAAACAAAACTAGAAAATAGAAATTAAAAGAAACGTGGAAATAATCAGTTAAGAACAAAAAGATGTTGCTGCAAATCCTCAAAGTCATGTGGATATAGAATTTGTTGGTGTTTTTTCACCATGCAACAAAATTAAGTAATTTTGATCAAAATTATATATTTATGTCAAGAAATTGACTTAATTTGTATAGATAATTTATTCAGAACTTAATTATAAATAGTTATATTTTTTTTCAAATTCGAAACTCATAAATTCAAAATTCTCAATGACAAAATTTATAGTTTAGAATATATAGTAATGCCAACATAACAGCTTTAAACCAACCAAGATCTTGATCTAAGAAAAAAGAGGGAATTCAAATTCAATCTCCTATTTAAGGTTGTACTTTCTACTTCTTATTCCATTTAACTTAAATGTCCCATTATATTTTTGGGCAAATCGAAATATTTTTTTTTCTTATACTTAAACAGAAGTGGATAAAGAAAATAATAAGTACAACTTTTTAAAGAAGTTGAAATTTTTTAGACACAATTTTTAATTAATTGTAGTACACTTTTTAAGGTCATACCACAGTTAGGGGTGTCAAAAACAAATTTTAAAATCGGCCAAACTGATCAAATCAAACTTATACTCGAATTGGTTATTAGATTTTTAATTTAATTAAAATTGTAGGTTTTAATGTAAAATTTATAACCTTATAAAAAGTTAATGGAGATTTTTTTGTTTTTATAAATAAGCTTAATAACAGTGTTTGGCGTGTAACTATTTTTTTTAAGGATAGTATAACTTATATAATTATATTATGCAAATATATATTTATGTAAATTGCCAAAAAGATTAAGACAATAAATTGCTCCTAATTTAAATATTTATTTGAGTTTAGTAATTATATGAACTTTGTCATATTTTGTAGAGCATCACTTTCGTAGATAATTAATTTTAGATGATAAGATGCACTTTGTGTGTTATATCAAAGTTTGTTATTGCTTAATGTAACAAATCAGATATTCTAAGAAAATTGTGACTCTTACCTAACGTCTTTTCTAATATGATAAAAAAAATTATTGAATCCATATCAAAGAAAAATTGATTGAAATGATTGGGACAGTTTAAAAAATATAATTTTGATTATGTATGATAGAGCAGGGGCGGCTCAACGTAGTTAGGGGCCTAAAACGAAATTTCAATTCGAGGCCTAAAATATAAACAAATTTCGTATACATATTTATTCAAATTTTATTTCTACAAGTAATAAGTTGACAAATATTGAATAAAGATAAGAGTTAGAACCATAGAATCTCATGAAGTTGATGACTTGGTATATCCCATTTTAATATGTTTGTTGTAACGCTTCAAGCTAAAATTTAAAAACAAATAAAAAAGAATTTGTAGTTCACTTTGTTCAACACTTTTTAGTTTTCATTATTAATTTTTATTTTTAACAAAGTACAAAAAATGTTAAAGTGGGTAAAACAATATATTTTTAAAGTATTATACTTTTAATCATAAATAATCAATTTTTTCTATAAAATTTTTAACACATAATTTATTCTTGATAAAAATTTGGGGCCCCTAAAATTTGGGGGCCTAAGGCATAAGCCTTATTTTACAAAGCATAGAGCCGCCCCTGTGACAGAGTAATCGAACAAATTAGTATGATATTATTTTAAAAAGAAATATTGATCGAACCATATCATTGACACTTGACCGTCGAGTTCGAGTCACCAAGGGAGCAAAAAGGGTGGAAGCTAAAAAAAAGAAAAAGACACTTGACAGCCGTGGTCCACACTAAAAAGGTGACCATTTGTGTTTTCTTTGATATATAAAACACTATATAATTCAAAATTCATCTTTAATAGTTTTTTCGATAGAATTAAAACTAGAAATACGGAAATGGAAGGTAACGTACGTACTGAATGTTTTCTACGTTGAGTCACAATCTATCTTCTCTGTGTTTTGGTTGTATATCGTTCTTCGTTTTAATTTGTGTGATATAATTTGATTCATCGTAAAATTTAACAAATAAAACAAGCTTCTGAAATTTACAGTGTTAATTGTGAAACATATCATAACATTTGTCTTACAAAATATGGAAAGTTTAGAATTGAATTATTTTTAAATATAAAAATGTATTATTCTTATTAAAATATACTAATAAGAAAAATAATATCACATATATTGTAAGCTAATAGAGTAATTGAATAAGCAATTTACCAGCACACAAAAAAATACTGCAAGATAAAAATTGAGGATCAAATGATTTTCTTTTTTAGCCAATTTTTTCAAGTTGTTAATCCACATTGCTATCGTAAGAATATAGCGATAAAAAAACTATGACTCAGCTACCTTCGCGTATTACACAAAAGGGGACCATTGTTATAACACTCTCAGATAAAAGATCGAATTAATATTAATCATTATTTTTTATATTGCCAAGATTATTAGTGCATCATGTGACACTTTTCTGGCTTTTACTTGCATTTAGTAACCCTATGCAATAACCCTATCTACTGTTAGCAAAAATAGACGAAGAAAAGGCTTGAGACGTGATATAATTACTGTCTTAAAAGAGTGATTGTATATTTATAGGGTTATTAGACTATTTCAGTGATATATACTACTAAAAACACTGAAATTAGCTATGAATTTTGTTGCTGATCCGTCGCTATTTTTCTCATAGATAATGAAAATCTATTGATAAGTATTATTAGCAATGTATTTTACTGTTTAGCTACAAAATTTTGTCTGTCACTAAATCCATTTTTTTTTAGTAGTAGTACCCAAATTAATTCAGTCATGATAGTCAACTATTATTTCAACCATAGTATTACTCCAATATTAAACTATATAACACTTGCTAGCACGATACTTTATAATTTTTGGAGGGGATTTAGTAATGCCACTAATTTGTAAGATTGCAAAAAGACACTAATTATGATCTAAGTATTTTGGGACATTGTATACGCAGCAAGTACATGAATATTCCTGGGTGTTTCCTTAAACCACAAGACAACACAAATTATAGGTATGATTAAATAAAGTTAGTAAAAGGTTAAAAATTAAAGGGACAAAAACATGAACCATCATATTTGTTGCTTCCCACAGGGAGAACAGGAAATTTCAATGCAACTTCCTTTCAATTATAATAATATCTTCTTCATATATACAATCATCCATAACTTGAGTGTACATATGCAAAAATGACTCAACTTCTTATTCGTATGTACATATAGTATGCAATTTTGATGGTCAGCAGCGGAGACATGATTTTTACAAGTTACTCAGAATAGGCCAATTCGTTACGTTTATTATAATAGTATCGAAGAATACACATGTCAATGAAAAACAGAAATACTAGACTATCTTCCTCAATGCACCTCATGATATAGTCCATATATACACTAATACTGTTGACAAAAACAGGACAAAGTGGATGCATTTCAAAACTTTCAATTGGAATTTTATGTTTATCTTGGCTCTAGAACTGTTATCGACAAACTGCTACTTATATATGCTTCATCAGTTGATGACTCTGTTGATTCCATTGAATTCCTCTCTATGAAAAAACCAGGTTGCTTTGGTTGAGGAAGAGCTAGACCTTCATTGCCTAACCAGAAAACTACTGATGCCATTGTAGGCCTATCCTCGGGGAGTTTTTGGACGCATAACAAACCAACCTGGATGCATCTCAACACTTGAGATTCTGAAAATGATTCTTTGATACATTCGTCTATCAGTTCCAACGCGTTGCCTTCACTCCAAAGTAACCATGCCTAGATTACAAACAGAACAACACATTTATACAAATGTATTCACAATAGGAAGCTAAGAGTGAATTAAGGGAATGAAGTTTTGTGCTTACATGTCCCAAAAGATTGTGATGATGCTCCAAATGACGAAATTTCCTGTTCTTTCTGCCACTGACTATTTCAAGAATGATTACGCCAATGCTGAATACATCTGATTTTACTGAATATTTCCCATCAACAGCATATTCCGGGGACATATATCCACTGCATCAACTCAATATATTTATGCTCATGTACTGATTGAATGTAATAAAGATTCTATGATTTGAAGATGTATAGAAACTTACTATGTCCCTATTACTCTCTTAGTTTTTCCTTCCACTTGATCTCCACCAAAATTTTTGGCAAGGCCGAAGTCAGAAATCTTTGCATTCATGTCACTATCTAATAAAATGTTGCTGGTCTTGAGATCTCTGTGAATAATTCGTAATCTTGAATCCTGGTGAAGGTAAAGAAGACCTCGAGATATTCCCATAGCAATTTCAAAGCGATTCTTCCATGCTAGTGAAGCTTTTCTGTTTGTATCTGCACAATGTGGAACTAATCGTTGAGTGATGCAGAGATATTGAGGACATATCAAGTAGTATTTAGTTAATGAATCATGAAAATCAGACCAAAAATGAAATAGTCCAAGCTAGCGTTGGGCATGAACTCATAGATTAGCATCCTTTCTTCTCCTTCAAGGCAGCAACCCAATAGCTTGACAAGGTTTCTATGTTGCAGCTTGGAAATGAGAACGATTTCATTTTTTAACTCTTGAAAGCCTTGTCCAGAATGCTTTGATTGCCTCTTTACTGCAATATCTTGTCCATTTGGTAGGATACCCTGCAGTTTTCTATCAAGAGTCAAAGATGCCACTTCTAGCTAGACGTTGAGGATCAAAGTTGATTTACCTTGTAAACCGGTCCAAAACCTCCCTCTCCAATCACATTAGCAGAAGAGAAGTTCTCAGTGGCACTAGTAACAGTTACTAAATCAAACAATGGAAGCTCCATTTCTTCATTTTCAACTTCTAAACCTGTCAATATACATTCGCCCGCCACAAACATGATATTAATGAGAATTGGTAAAAGGCCAACAATGTCAGCCAGATAGAGAAGAGTACCTCAAGTATATGTACCTCTTCTTCTTTTCCTTCTTCGGAGGTAAAACCAAGCTAAAATGCTGAGGATAAATGTTGCTACCACTGCTGAAATGACACCAATCAGGGCTGACCTCTTTCTCCTCCCCTTCCTGTCTGAATATGTTCAATTTACATATGAGTTGGCCATATCAGTAATGAATTGCATTGATTGTATTACTTCTTATTTTTCTATGAAACCCCGCAGACTTGCTAATCAGTAACTATTAAAGGATAGAGTGTGTACGACCATCCCCCGCTGTTAACATCCTTGATCTTCCATAAGGTCTAGCACATCAGAAGCTGATCAGAGGCAGCTTTCCTAAAATCCCTTGGAGGAAACTGTTATGCAACAATCTTTGCTCTCCTATATGGTTATTCATTGTGAATATAGCTGCTAGTGTCAAACTCTATACAAAATAAAGTCTGCAACAAAGGGGACTAGTGGATGATCTGAGAGGCAAATGCAAGTACAGCACTACTAGATGGATACGTTCGTACTAGATTATCAGCTCCCTCCTTAAGGGGAAACTATTGTAGATGTGCAGCCATTTAATGGCTGATAAACAATTTTAATGTCTATCAAGTAAATAAGATAGTAGAGTTCCTTCAATTCTAAGAGTTGTGTATTTATATTGTTAAGACGAGAGAATGGTGCAGAGTGGGGACATTACCTAATTCTGAAGCAGCTACTCTCACAAACAGGTTTTGCTCATTTTGGCTGAACTCTCGTATATCTATGAGTTCTCCAAACCATAGTAAGCATCCACTTCCGCCATTTCTAACATCAAGATCTGAGTAGGCTGTACAATTGCAATCAGCCAAGCACATTTCCTCGCAATCTTCAAGGTTCATGCTCTCATTAGACCAGGAGTTTCTAGAATCAGGCATCTTGATACCCGTAAATTTAAGAAAACCATCATGGGTACAATCCAAAGAAGTTCTCCTTACGCAACCACTTGACCAGTCTGTTGCAGAATCTTGAGGATACCTGTGAAAGGTGAAGACATAATTAAGTAACAAAAAAAGAATCAAGCACACACATGAGGGTGTGTGAAAACATAAGTAAGTAATCAAAAGTCCAAAGTGTGCTTTCTCTGACAGCTTAACGTGAGATGATCAGATAGTGTAACAAATACAAACCTAGGCTCAAAACCTTTCAAACAGTCACATGGAGGGGAGTTATTGATGTTGCAACTTGAATAAGGTCCACATAAACCAAAACGATCACAATTATCAAATTGTGCTGTCAAGTAGAGAAACCAGCTCTGACTGCGCTCTATCCATGTTAGGTGTTCTACCACACCAGACGGATTGAGCACCACCCTGGTGGGAATGGAGTCATTCCTAATTGTATATGTGTAGTAAATTTCCTGTTGATTAATAACAAACTCGAAACTGTAATATGTATTTGGTTTATTATTAGGACTACCACTGAATGCAATACCATTCCATGGCCCTGAGCTAAATACTACAGATGAATTTTTCCACAAAAACAATTGTGGATATCCATGAGAATCAAGACCATCTACATATTCACCAGGAGTTGGATCATCCGTGCTCTTCCATGACGTTACACGCCAATCCATTCCCGTGACCAAATCTTTTCCAATCCTCATGCCAGGTAACAAAGTATTTCCTGGATAATCAAAACTCTGCCACGCGAAATTATTTTCCAGGCCTCTATCATTCCCATCACTGACAACAAGGTTTCCTGAATCAAGTAACCGTGCTTTTGGATTCTTTAAGGATCTTGATGAGTTTGATGACCAAATTGAGACATTGGATTTATCAACAAGTACAAGAATTCCATTGGGATTGAGTGTTAACACTCCTGAATTGTCATTCAGTGGATTGTTTCTGTTGGCAACCCAAACAACAGTTCCATTTGATATTTTCTTGTACCATATGCCAACGTAACGATTCTTCGAATTTCCAGGGCTGAAAAATCCAAGCTCATAAATCCCTCCAGCTGAAACAATTGTGTCACCATCTCTAATGGATTTATCTGTAGTGATTGTGTCTAATGCTGCAGAAGTTAGTAAAATGAAGAGAAATTGGCAGCAAATGCATAATGAAAATAGGCCTTTCATGGATTTTGACTCTTATTTTTTTTTGAATTGGCAATCTTAAGGCCTTTGAGCCTCAACATAGTTGATACAAAAATTAATAACAATACATTTATTTGATTGACAAAGTTGAGTTTTCCTGCCCACCACTTTAGAATCAACAAGTCATGTTCAATATTCCTTTTAAACCGAATATGAAAAGAAAAACTTTTTTATTGAAATAATAGAGTCAGGCACACCTGGACTAATTACACTACCTCTCACTAACACATACACCAAACACTTGTTTTTCAGAAAATATTTTCTTCCATCCTATTAAATACACCCCTAATATTTTTTATTTTTTTTCCTACGCTGAGATTTGAATTTGAGACTCATAATTACCGAGCAACTTTGTGGACTACTAGCCTACATCTCTTGGATGTGAAATATGAAGTGGATTTTGAAAGCGTCTTAAGGAGATGATCCATTATTTGATTTTTGATAACACGAGTCGTTTGATTCAAAACAAGGTTAAGTCAAGATTATAATTTTGTGGTTATTACTGGGATAAATAATCTCATCTTTTATATGAGATATAAAGATAATTTCATAATTTTGGTATGAATTTTATATCGGAAATAACCCCAAATCTCTTCAACCAAGCAAATCCTTATTAATAAAGGTCTATCACGGCTTCTTTGTTTAATTAATTTAATTTACTGATTAGTTTAGTAATAATTGTTTCAACTTTTCTGTTGAGAGAGGCCATAGAGGCGGCTAATTAGAGTTTCAAAGTTGCACGCTGTTGACTAATCATGATTAAAATAATGATTCGATGTGATTTTCGAACTATTAGAACTTACTCATGATTTAAATTATTGCATATTGTTACCTCATTTTATTACCTAAACATGCTAAATTACAACCTGTTTGGTCAAATTTTCAAAATTTACCCATTTTGAAAAGTTGTTTTTTTTATACAAATACTTTTTTAAAGTTTTTTGTGGATAGAAGCAAATTTGTGTTTGACTCATCACTTTGAAAATCACTTTTTCTTGGCCAAGGTTCCGAAAGTACTTAGGAGAAAAAACTACAATATTTTCTTAAGCTTACTTTACAACTCAAAAATACTTTTTTTTTCTTTCTAAACGCTTGACCAAAAACCTCTAACTCTCTAAAATTATTGCACACTGTTACCTCATTTTTTCCTTTCATATTGTAAAGTCACCATATAATAAGATACTAAGGAAAAATAATAAAAAAGGCAAGTTTTTGTCATGCTGCAAACATGATAAGAACATTACTATTATCATATATACAGTAGAACTCATATTGACAATATGAAAAAAGTGGAGTTAATATCACAAAAGGTCACTCAACTTTGAGAATTTTTCTAGTAAAGTCATTAAACTTTATTTTGTATCAATAAAATCATTCAACTTAGGTGTTTGTATCAATAAAATCAGTCAACTAAATTTATCATTAATTATATACTATATGGTATTCTTTTTATTTATTTACATGCAATTAGATCCAAATTCATTCACAATTCTATCGATTAACCCAATTAAAAAACGCAACACTTGTTTACTTAATTATATCGTGCTCATTGGATTGGCAGAGCTCTTAAACTTGTCTCTGTTTTCATCTTGATCTTTCATAGCCTGACTGAGAGTGGATCCAATGAAAGATAACTAGCAGCAATCTGCAACGACAGAGCTGGCAGTAAGCTAATAAACTTGCCCCCTGTTAACCACCGTTTGTGGGTTTGTAGATTGATAGAGCAGAGAAGCTTATACATGAAAGAGTGCTATACCATACTTTTTTGGTGCTTTAGCTGATCGTACTGTTCTTTGGGAAGACCATGAACTGAAGGGGTTTGGAATGCATAGATTGTCAAGTAACAAAACATAGTTTTTTTTTAATTGGGTTAATGAGTAGAATTATGAATAAATTTGGGTCTAGTTATATATGAATTAATAAAAACAATGTCATATATTTAATTTATTAATAAATTTAGTTAAGTGATTTTATTGATACAAATATGTAAGTTGAGTGATTTTATTGATGCAAAACAAAGTTCAATGACTTTACTAGATAAATTCTTAAAGTTGAGTGACATTTTGAGATATTAACTCGAAAAAAGTGTGTACATTTCAAAAAACTTCCAATTGGAATTTTATGTTTATCTTGGCTCTAGAACTGTTATCGACACGCTGCTACTTACATATACTTCATCAGCTGATGACTCTGTTGATTCCATAGAATTCCTCTCGATGAAAAAACCAGGTTGCTTTGGTTGAGGAAGAGCTAGACCTTCATTGCCTAACCAGAAAACTACTGATGCCATTGTAGGCCTCTCCTCGGGGAGTTTTTGGACGCATAACAAACCAACCTGGATGCATCTCAACACTTGAGATTCTGAGAAGGATTCTTTGATACATTCGTCTATCAGTTCCAACGCGTTGCCTTCAATCCAAAGTAACCATGCCTAAATTACAAACAGAACAACACATTTATACAGTTGTAATCACAATAGAAAGCTAAGAGTGAATAAAGGGAACGAAGTTTTGTTCCATATATATGTGCTTACATGTCCCAAGAGATTGTGATGATGCTCCATATGACGAAATTTTCTGTTCTTTCTGCCACTAACTATTTCAAGAATGATTACGCCGATACTGAATACATCTGATTTCACTGAATATTTCCCATCAACAGCATACTCCGGGGACATATATCCACTGCATCAACTCAATATATTTATGCTCATGATGTACTGATTAAATGTAATAAAGGTTCTATGATTTAAAGATGTGTAGAAACTTACTATGTCCCTATTACTCTCTTAGTTTTTCCTTCCTCTTGGTCTCCACCAAAAATTTTGGCAAGGCCGAAGTCAGAAATTTTGGCATTCATGTCAGTATCTAATAAAATGTTGCTGGTCTTGAGATCTCGGTGAATAATTCTTAATCTTGAATCCTGGTGAAGGTAAAGAAGACCGCGAGATATTCCCATAGCAATTTCAAAACGATTCTTCCATCCAAGTGAAACTTTTCTGCTTGGATCTGCACAATGTAGAACTAATCATTGAGTGATCAGAGATATTGAAGACTTGTCAAGTACTAGTATAGCCAATAAGTCACGAAAAAGCAGACCAAAAATGAAATAGTCCAAGCTAGCGTTGGGCATGAACTCATAGATTAGCATCCGTTCTTCTCCTTCAAGGCAGCAACCCAATAGCTTGACAAGATTCCTATGTTGCAACTTGGAAATGAGAACGATTTCATTTTTTAACTCTTGAATGCCTTGTCCAGAATACTCCGATAGCCTCTTTACTGCTATTGCTTGTCCATTTGGTAGGATACCCTGCAATTTTCTATCAAGGATTAAAGATGGCACTTCTAACTAGAAGTTGAAGATCAAAGTTGATTTACCTTGTAAACCGGTCCAAGGCCGCCTTCCCCAATCACATTAGCAGAAGAGAAGTTCCCAGTGGCACTAGTAACAGTAACTAAATCAAAAAATGGAAGCTCCATGTCCTCATTTTCAACTTTTGAACCTGTCAATATACATTCGCCTGCCACAAACATGATATCAATGAGAATTTGGTAAAGGCGAACAATGTCAGCCAGATAGACAAGAGTACCTCTGCTATATTACCTATTCTTCTTCTTCTTTTCCTTCTTTGGAAGTAAAACCAAGCTAAAAAGCTGAGGATAAGTGTTGCTACCACTGCTGAAATGACACCAATCAGGACTGACCTCTTTCTCCTCCGTGTCCTGTCTGAACATGTTCTATATTAGTTCATAATCAGTATTCAATTTACATATGAGTTAGGCATATCAGTAGTTAATTGCATTGATTGTATTACTTCTTATTTTGTTATGAAGCCCTGCAGACTTTGTAACTTGTTGACCAGGGCATTCAATCAACAAGATTACTGAAAAAGTAGTCAATGTTTAATTGATTTCAAGCTGCATTGTTAAATCGGAAATCTTCTTTGAAAGATGACACATATTAAAGTACAGTGTCACTGATTACAAGCGGCACTACTAAGGACAGAATGCATATGATTACCACCTGCTGTCAACAGCCTTGATCTGTCATGAGATCTAGCATATTTTTAAGCCTTTAAAGGGAATGAAGTCTCATCCCTAGCAATCCTACTAACCGGTTATGTCCTAGTATCCATATAGTCGTAGAGTAAGATATGAAATTATTCAAATGCTCTTTGCAGCAAGCTACTTCCGTTCTTGTACCACAGAAAATGAAATCGTCATATTACCAACTACTAAAGCACCTAATCAACCTTAATGTCCATCATGTAAGTAAAGTAGGTAGCAGAGTTCCTTCAATTCTAAAGAGTTAGTGCATTTATGCAGAGTAGGGTCATTACCTAATTCTGAAGCAGCTACTCTCACATACAGATTTTGCTCATTTTGGCTGAACTCTCGTATATCTATGAGTTCTCCAAACCATAGTAAGCATCCACTTCCGCCATTTCTAACATCAAGATCTGAGTAGGCTGTACAATTGCAATCAGCTAAGCACATTTTCTCGCATTCTTCAAGGTTCATTCTCTCATTATGCCAGGAGTTTCTAGAATCCGGCATCTTGATACCCGTAAATTTAAGAAAACCATCATGGGTACAATTTAAAGAAGTTCTCCTTACGCAACCACTAGACCAGTCTGCTGCAGAATCTTGAGGATACCTGTGAAGGCAAGAAAATAATTACATGTGTTTGGTCCAAGAAAAGGAATCAAGCACACACATGAGGGGTGTGTGAAAACATAACTTAGTAATCAAAATTCAAAAGTGCACTCTCTCTAATAGCTTAACGCGAGATGATCACATAGTTTAACAAATACAAACCTAGGCTCAAAACCTTTCAAACAGTCACATGGAGGGGAGTTATTGATGTTGCAACTTGAATAAGGTCCGCATAAAGCAAAACGATCACAATTATCAAGTTGTGCTGTCAAGTAGAGAAACCAGCTCTGAGTATGCTCAATCCATATTAAGTGTTGTATCACCCCATCCGGGTTGAGCACCACCCTGGTGGGCATAGAGTCATTCTTAAGCTCGTATTTGAAGTAAATTTCCTTCTGAGTGATAACAAACTCGAACGTATAATACAATGTTGGTTTATTACTAGGACTACTAGAAAATGCAGCACCAGTCCATGGCCCTGAGCTAAACACTACAGATGAATTTCTCATCAAGAACAATTGAGGATATCCATGTGAATCAACACGATCTACATATTCACCAGGAGTAGGATCATCCGTGCTCTTCCATGACATTACATACCTATCCATGCCCGTAACCAAATCTATTCCTACCTTCATTCCAGGTAATAAAGTGTTTCCTGGATAATCAAAACTCTGCCACGCCAAATTAATTCCCTGATCTCTGTCATTTCCATCACTAACAACAAGGTTCGCGGAATCCAGGAGCTGTGCTTTTGGATTCTTTAACGATCTTGATGACCAAATTGAGACATTGGATTTATCAACAAGTACAAGAATTCCATTGGGATTAAGTGTTAACACTCCTGAAGTGTCATTAAGTGGAATGTTTCTGTTTGCAACCCACACAACAGTTGTAGGTGATATCTTCTTGTACCATATGCCAACGTAACGATTCTTCGAATTTCCAGGGCTGAAAAATCCAAGCTCATAAACCCCTCCAGCTGAAACAATTGTGTCACCATCTCTAATGGATTTATCTGTAGTGATTGTGTCTAATGCTGCAGAAGTTAGTAACATGAAGAGAAATTGACAGCAAATGAAGAGCCTCAACATAGCTGAAACAAAAAAACAAAATCAATACTATTGATTGTCAAGCTTAACTTTTTCCTCTCCACCAGTTTAGAATTAAAAAGTCATGTCCACAATATTCGACTTATAAATAATAGGCTAAATATCGCGATAGCCCCTTAACCACATTCGACTTATAAAATAATAGGCTAAATGTCGCGATAGTCCGTTAAACTTGACATGTATTATAAGTTACACATTCAAACTTAGGTAGTGATCAAATAAACACTTTAATTTGATAGAGGTAAAACTCACTCGCCGTTGACATATTAAACCAATCAATGATCGACAACTGTATTTTTAACTAATAATTACCCACCGCAATTTTGCAGTAGACTCCACGAATTAAAAGCTTGAAATAGTCAAACCTAATTTACTGACCTTGATATCAATTTGGACCATTTTGAAGATTCTTTTTATGTTGATGAGACAGGTGAGGATTAAAAATGGCACAATAATCAAATATTAATTTGGGCTGGGCTCAGAGATGGTATTTCCAACATGATTAAATTCATATATAGAGCTCAAATCTACTCCAACAATTTATTTTTTTTATATTCAGAATTTAAATTCGAAACCTCTAATTAAAAATGAAATATTTCCCATGCCACACATTTGAGTATATCATTTTTTCAAGTTATTATTTCTTTGGGAGAAAGGTTAGCTTTGTGTAATAAATATAGAGATGGAGTAGAGGTGATAATTTATTGTTAAAACTTTGTCGTCATAGTCAACCGACTTTTGTCTGGATGCAATGGGTTTATTTTATGACTCGTGTGATCGGACCAATTTGAGCCTATCTCGAGTAATTTTATGAAATATGTGTTAATTTTTTGGGTTAATTTGGATACATTTTGTAGATGGATTCAAACTTAAAAATTCAATGAATTAAATTTTTATTTTTTTTGAAATTCAGTTTATTATAGTGTTAGAATGTGGAATTAGGGGTTTAGATTTAATATTTCTTGAGATTTTAATAATTTTTTATATATATGTACTTATACTTGGTGTCAAAAATTTAAGATTCAAATAAACTCATCTCGACTAATTTTATGATGTACATGCTATCTTGCATCATACATATATAAGATGCAAGACCTTTTACATAAAATAAAATCGTTTGATATTTTTAATTTTACCTCGTGATTTTCAATTTAATAACTATTAAATTATATTATTAGGTGTAAAATGTAAGAATCATTTTCCCTTAATTTTAAGGAAACGAACTAATATTTGCTTTCCAAAAACTCTATAGGCGGCTAACAGCCTAAGACTATAGTTTTCAAAGTTGTAATCTTTTGACTTCCCATATTATAATCTGATCAAATGTATATATAATCTTTAATTAATTTATGTATTTCTTTATTTCTCTGATCTTGAGTCTTTATAACGTTAATGAATTATTTAGTGTTAAATCGTTTCATTAATGTTGTATTGTGTTGAATTCATAATGTTATTTCATATTTGAGAGTGATATAATTCAAACAATAACCTAAAAATACATACACTTAATCGAATATTATAAAAATCAAAATTAAAATTCATCATTAATTAAGAGATTAAAAGTGCAAAATTATCCCTAAAATCGATTTATGTTTTTTTTAAATAATTTTTTAAAGAGACAAATATTTGACCAAATCTTTTAAGTGAAGTGACAGATTAAAAAAATACAACGAAATATTTTTTCCGTTTCCTAATGTAATTAATCAGGTCAAAATAACTAATTCCAGCTTTCACGGTTGACACATTCATTTCTTTTTTTTCCCTTTAAATTGTAAATCGTTATGAAGTCATTTTCAACCAAAAAAAAAAAGTCACCATATTATAATATTATACTGAGAAAAAATAAAAACAAAAAGACAAGTTTTGTCATGCTGCAAATATAATTTTCTACTTGAACTCTTGCAATTTGCTCTTTAACTGTTAGAAAATAATTTTCACGTTATATATAAAATATAATATTCAAGGAGATTTTGATATATATATCGATAGAGACCAAAATGAAGATATATGGTTTTCTAATATTAACAATTTTTTAAACTACCTTTGTTTCAGGAGTTAATTTTAGTAATTTATTTTTTCCCAAAATAGTATTCCCTAGTTCTTATTTATGTCACTATTTTTTATTCCACGTACATTAAGAAATTAAATAAGTTTACCATTCTATCCTTGTTTAATTTTTTTTGAAGTCAAACTTTTCAATCAATGAATATGAATTAATTTATTTTGATTAATTAATTTGACCAATGAACATTATTCATTTAGTTTTTGTATGTTAGTCAAATGTATACTTTCAAGACTAATAATTCACAGGGTAAAATAGGAAGAATGTTATAATTTATGCATTGATTTTATGGAATGACAAATATTATGAATCAACTATTTATAATAAGAATGACATATATGTTTGAACCATTAATTTCAGTTGGTTGGAAACTTAAAAATTAGAATTATTGGACATTTTATTATTGGACTGACATTTATTAACATGCGGCTGGGCTGACGATTGCCCAGTTCTTTCATCAATGTGAGATTGGTTTATTAATGTCAAGATTCAAGAACCATCCGAATCATTCTGTCAATTTGTGCAAAAGAGGCCTAAATATTTATTGGCATTTGATATTTACGTTAAATTATATTATTTATAATTTATTTGATTAAACTTATTGACAAAAACAAACAATTTTTTATTATAAGTATTTCTCAAAAATAAGTTAATTTTGAAAGTTTGAATTGCAAACAAGGTATTTCTTCCTCTGTTTCATGTTATTTGTCCATTTTCTTCTTTGCATGCTCTTTAAATAAACTAATTTTATTCACATTTGATAATTAATGCATTTTATTTATGTGCCTTTTCGATCAAGATTAGTAATGGAGGAACTTTTTTGGAACTTTGCAATATTAATACTTTCAAAAAGAATTAATTAAATGAAAAGTGAATTTTTTAAAATAAATTCTATTTTCTGTCATGACAAGTAACTTGAATCAACTATTTTTAATAATATGAGCAAATAATATGAAACAGATTAAGTATTATAGATAACTAGTAAAATCACCCGTGCTTCGCTTGGAAATTTAATATCACTGAATTTATAAAATAATACTTAAAATCTATGAGTCATTAAAACTAAAACACTATATTATCTTACATACAAGATTACATATAACAAACATTAATAATGTAAAGGAAGATGATAATTATAATATCTTATCATTTATCCTTCAATCAATCATCTTTAATTTAATTTTATAATTTATCTTTTTGCCCAGGAAGTGTTATTACTTGATATTTTTGGGGATTCAAATGAACATCAACCATATCGGAGATATTAAATTTTCTAATAAATAAATTGGTGAAGGGATAAATAAATTTTAAAAGGATGAAACAAATGAACAAATATTCTAATTCTAACATGTAAAAAGTTCAGTTCTATCTTTTGCTTTACATATATCATTTTAAAGTTTTCCATTTAAATGTATCATAAGTAATTATTAAAATAAAAAATTAAAGGGAGAATGTATCATATTGGACAACAATTCAACTTATTATATATATTTGAAAGGGAAAAAGATTACACAAATTATTCAGTTTGTTTGGGTGTTTTTTAAAAATCAACATACCCGAGTGATGTAGTTCAATTTGAAACTACACCTCTATTTCAATCACAACGTCAAGAAACACATCTATTACTTTAAGAAAGTTTTTACAACTTGCAGTAAACTTGAGAATTTGTCCATACTTCATATTGATTATGAGCAACAAATTTATTGTGTAGTTATCTATGTCTTTACGATTAAAAGAGGCTACAGTCTAGTCATATTCCTCTATAGGTCATCCGGCACATCCTTGAACCCATGTCAAATGTTTATTAATTCTTGTCTTCTTTTCCTGGTTCACTTCGCACATCAAGGTGAGATAAAGTTTTTAAGGTCTTTCTGTCCTTACAATGGCATACCAAATTTGAATTTTGTCTTCAAGAGATAATAGTATAGATCTTTAAGGAATTTTTTACTGTACCTTCAACAATTTCAGTAGAGAAAACTTGTGTGAATACTCAAGTAACGTGTGTTGTTTAATTTGTACTAACAAATACTTAAACAATAATTTGCAGAAACATAAATAACAAAATTTAAAACATGTACTCAAAAACAACAATTAATAACATAAGCATAAATTAATAACTGTAAAAAAACATAGCAGGATCTGTAACAATAGGATGAAACAGAAAGGAAAAAATTGTACGTGAATATTTAATTGTATAGAAGAAGAAGAAAAAGTTCAGAATTTTTGTTGTTTTAAAATGATAGGAAATCCCTCTATTTATAGCGAGACAACAAAGGGTAGTGTGAACAAATGTTTATTGTGCCTTATCGGAAAGGTCACAACTCTTTGGAAAAGTTACAACTCTTCGGAAAGGTCATAACCTTTCATAAAAGTCGCAACTCTTCATAGAAATTACAACTTTTCATATAAGTCGCAACTTTTCATAAAAGTCACAATTTTTCGTTAAAATCGCAACTTTTCATGAAAGAAGATAAATTAAAAAACGAATCTTGGTTTGTGGTGGTGCCACGTAGGCGGGCCTAGGATCCTCTTTTATATATATATATATATATATGATTAAGTGAATAAATGAAATAAATAATTATATAGTAATGTGATAGAAATTCAACAAATACATAATTATATATTTATTGATTTGACGTAAAAACAAAATAATGGATTATTATTATTATTTTTTTAATCGAAAGAGACTTCATGATCTGAACATGATGAAATGGGCATATGGGCTGAAACCTACTTATATTCCTTCTAATATTATGACTCTTTCTATTTTTTAGTTTTATTTTTATGGCTCTTTAATTTCTATCAAACTACAGGTTACATAAATTATTTTAGCCACTAGCCTTGCTTACCGACAAAGTAACATACTTTCGGTAAGCCCACTTGCTTTAATAATACAAAATATTTTTTCTCAGTTATTGACAGCTAACACTCTAATAATACAAATAAAATCTT